TATAGCTCCCACATATATATCTTTACCCGATTTCAAATTAATTGTGCACCAAGTATACAAGTCCGAATTTAAAAGAAATTCAAAACACTAGAGTTGAGCTTCAGTTGAATCTCACAACACTCCATTTGTTTGCCGGTGGCGGGATTAATACCACTTGCCGCAAGCGGGATAACGAAAGTCATTTAAACATTTATGAGTGGAACATCTAGCAAAGTTCGACTTTATTTTGAGATCATTAACTTGTGGGATGTGTTTCATATCCATACGATGCAAGAATTATGCCTGCGTTTTTTAGTTTCGATTTTCTAACCTTTCTTCAAATATTGCCCATCAAAAGGAGAGGAATATTTTATCTTCTGTTGGTAAAAACTCAAAAACTCGACTTTAAAATCAAAAATAGGAATTGGACAAAATCGTCAGATTTGTTCGAGACAAAATTAATATCCCAGTATATTATATTCATAGTCGGGCTGCAAGCAATGTATATAAATGCGAAATCGAATAAATTTCAAACCGTTTGAAGGAGTTATATAAAAGGTGTAGTAGCTACATGTAGCTGATCTGGCTTTAGTCTAATCGGATAGAGATTTGTCTTAATAGAGTCATATGACTATTTTTGGTGGCAGTTTTTACCAAAAATCCATTTAAAACTAATACCAAAATCGTGGTAGCTCTACCTACACGTGAGCGGATTTTGACATTACGTACAAAAAATCATCTCCGACTTCTATCCTTTGCCAGCTGTACAAGCGTTCGTCTTTTGCTCTTGCTTGCTTAATGCTTTTTTATCAGTTATTTGAATGCCAGCCACGACTGTCTCACTTAAAAACGTATAAAAGGATAATACAACTATTAGTAAACAGTTACACGCCGCAGGCCCAGAAGTTGCTCGCTCGCCTGTCGTGCTGTGTGCGTTTGTTTGTGTGTTTTTGTGTGCCTACGGCGGTGTATTTCTTGTCGAAATGATTGTCGGCTTGTTGTCATTTCGTTTTCTTCTCAAGCAGCGAGCGGCCTTTTGTTCGTACAGTCGCTCTGCGCTTTCTCTCCTTTCTCGCTTCCTACAAGTCGAACGGCATTCGAGTAGTTTGGTGCGCCTTTGTTGCAAAGTACACGGCATGCAAATTATGCCACCGGATGTCCAATTTAGTCTAGCGTTTGTAGCCGCTCCCGGGCAAATGCATTGCAGAACTCTTCTATTTGGTGTTTGCATCGCTTCTACGTCTGTGAGCTGCTCCGAGAGTGGCAAGAAGAAGTCTTAGTCCGTATAACTGAGTTCTTAGTTTGAATTCCAAATGTCGTCGCGCTTCTGCATTGGTCTCCCTGTGTCGGTTGTATTCTTTGTTGATTTTCTTGTATCGTTTTCTGTTTTCCAGTTCATATTCCTTCACATTTGTGCTGCGGTATGTTCCATGGGCATTGTGAGTTCATAATGCCATGGCTTTAAACTGTTTCCTTAGGTACCTAGCAATTTGTCTGTTGGAACTGTGAGTGTGCACACAATACAGGTACGAGTGTAAATACACGCACACACCCCCAACACTTTGCCCCGGGGACGAAATGAAATGGGATAATGGACTATGAAAACGTGGAGTAGTGGTTTCTATGCATGTCGCTTTCACATCGCTCCATTCGACATAAGCCTCCGATTTCGCGAAACAAGGCGGCTGTCGAATTTCATGTTACCCACCGATTAATATAAACTATTTTCGTGCGGAATGCAGTGATCGCATCTAACATATCTTCACTTCCAACGAGAAAAGCCAGCCTTCACATCGAAGGATGACCACAACTATTTCTTATATCTTTTCTATCGGTCGTTCGGAAACAGACCGCCACCACTGCCGCGAGAACCAGATCGTTAGTTACTGCATTCGTTTCGCTTCCTTTACTTGACGTTATTTGTTAATCCTTTCGTTACATTTTGATGAAATCCATTAAGAGTTTCATTACATCCACATTAAATTAAACGAAATGGAAGCTTCGCAGCTCCTATGCACAGCCATGTCAAGGCAAGGTTCCAATGGACGAGCCATGACACTGCCTGCCTGACTGACTGAATGCCGGTAAGGTTGTTTCGCTGTGTGTGTATTTGTGTAGGTTTGGCTATTAAAAGGCACTCATGCCCAGAAGAGTAAAGACGGAGCTGAGTTCTATTCGGGTGAGTTTTTTCCCCGTCCACAAACATGCACGCTCAACATTTCGGAACGTCAAAAGGGATACATACACGCACACAAACACACTTCGGTGTGTTAGTAATAAAAATAATGCGAGATTTTTAATGTGGGCCAGCACCGAAGAGACGCAGAGGAATGTGCATGTGTGTGGTCTGTTTGTTGGTGGCGTAGGAGCTTTGCTTGTGGTTGTAGCAGCATAGACACACAAGCCGTTATTCCATCATTTTCAATCCGTCAAGGCAGTTCAGCGTGCTGGGGATATCCACGAGACTCCTCGCACACACACACACACACATAGACCCAAACCACGGCAGCCCAGTGGCACATGAACTCAATGGTCTTTGTTTTTAACTTTCAGTAGATCCATAGCCATGCCACTGGCATACTGACTGCCTGTACTCCGAAACATGGCCTTGGAGTGGCTGCAATCGTAGGGATAATCTTCAATTGATTTCATTTCTATTTCATGGCAACGAAAGGAATTAATGGAATTCTGATCAACAGAACTCATTCGCCGATTGAGTTTTAGACTTTCCTTAGAAGTTTTCCCGGTTCCCTGCCATGTTCGGCGATGACGTGCGAGAGCAAAGCTCCCACCAGAGTTCCACCAGCACCAAGCACATGTGAGGTAGCAGGGCGGGGGCCTCTTGCTAAATGCTGCCTTGGCAAAAAAATGAAAAAGTAATACAATAACAAATATCCCTTTTATTGTCCTTCGTAAACCGATGGCTGTCGATTTCGCAAAAAGATGGAAAAGAAAACCAACTTGTTTTTACTGGAAATATTAAAAACAACAACAGCAACGACACAATGTGTCATAAAATGTGAATGTATGTGTGTGTGTGTATTATGATTCCCTGGCTCATTCGTTTTCCATTTTGACTGACAGCCATTTCATTCAGCTGCGGACTTTTGCGTTTGTGTCTCAAAGTAAGTCAGAGTATTTCTTGGCAACCCCTCGCGTCCGCTCCCGCACCCGTTCATTGTGCCGTTTGCAAAGTGATGCCTGAAGAAAGACAGACAGACAAACAGACAATTGGTACAACAAAGTCTTAACATGTTTTTCAAGATTTGCCTTGTCGTTCCCTAACAAGGATTTATTCTTTGGCCCATCAATGCCTTTCCGTCTCCATGTCTCGCTCCCCCTCCTCTCCTTCCCTCTATCCACCCGAAAAACTTTGCCTAACCAAGTTTGATGCAGCCATAGTCACTCAGTCATTGGATAAGCATTTTGGGGCAATAGATCTGTTGGCATTCATATGCAAACATGTGTGTGTGTTGGTGCGTGTGCGTTGATATCCTGCTACTGAAGGATGTGAAAACTTTAAATGACTATGGCGAAATTATGGTAAACGTCTATCGATTTGAGTTACAGTGCGGTTAGCATGAAGTTGAAAGGTCATTACGCCATCTTCAAACGGGAATATGTCTTTGATGGGATGAAATTTGCATATTTTCCTTGCGTATGAATGTGTGTATGTGTGTGTGTTTGTTCTTGCGGTTCTGTCAGTTGCCGTTGTGTGATGTGCCTTTATTTTCTTGTCTTCTCTTCTTTCTTCAGAAATTTGTATAAAAAACGCAATTTTGTGACATTTCCCCAACCGACCAATAATTTCTTTCATCAGTTCTTGTGTGTTGCTCTGATGTGTGAGTGTGTGTGTGTGTGTGAGGAGAACAAGGATGTGGCATCATTCGTGAATAGATAAAATGTCATTAAAGAAAATGTATATGTCAGTCAGATGGCTGAAAAGTGACATCTATCAGATCAGTTCGCTAGTACTGTCAATTACCGATCCTCGTTATTTTGATTTGAACAAGCCGATCTTATCAACTACAGTAACAACACTTTCAACCACCAACATGCTGGACAATCAAATTTTAGCGCCTCAACTTTCAAAGTGTCAATAATGTCTATTTTAAAAAACATTGCATATGACAAGCCTACTTGTCAACTTCTCCACTATGGTAAATTGCACGAGGGTGTTACCCCAGGGACACCTTTGACAATTTTTACCACGACAGTTGATCATATCTATTTTTATGAAGTTTGCGAAATGCTCCGGTATTATTTAGTTGGTTTAAAGATATGCCCTACAAAGCAATTTACCATAGTAGGGAATTTGAAGTCGTCGGATTTTGAGTAGACTTGTCATAGGCTGGGAAATGTTAAATTTTTATGAATTAGTACTGCTATATATTTTTGAACGCTCACTTTTCATTCACTGAGAACCCCAATTGCCACACTACAACCGATAATAAAAAATAACTGTTAAAGGAGTAACATAACAAATAGTGAACGTGCATATTTTCGAAAATTTTCATTGGAGAGGATTTAAGCTCTGTGTGAATCGGAATCACATTTTAGATTACATTAAACTTGAAAACACATCGGCAAAGCTTCAAGTAATTTAAATCAGGATATATGACCAAATGCGTGTTACACCAAATAAAATATCTTTACCAGAATGTCGTATCAAATGTTGTCTGTGTGTGCTTTTTAGCAGACAGGCGGAACGTTCACTTTGAAAGGCATGCGTATCAAGAATATATTTGTATACTTTATGGGGCCTCCGGTGAATGTTTCGATGTTATGCAAACGAAACGAAAAAACCGAAATATTTCCCGTACTATGGTGAAGGGCATAGCCGATGGGAGATAGGAATATTGGCTCTGAGCAAGAGAATCTTATTTCCAATTTCAATGGGAATCTACTTAAAATGTTCAGGTGTGACAAACTTTCTAAACGGGTGGGGCCGGACCGAATGATCACATTTTACTTTAGTCTAGGCTACTTGAATATCGAAATGTTCGGTATTTTGTACTTACACTCTTTCCGCAAATCGGTGCATCGCCTACAAAGGGCAGCCTTGCGCCAATATGCTTTCTGCTCCCCCGCTTGTCCAACAATCGACACCGCAAGTCGCCGAGCCGCCTCCAACGCCGCCTACCTCTGCCACATGAAGTAGGAAAGCGTTTGCTGATAAGCGGTATCGTATAAAATTCTGCACAATCCTGGTGTTGAATAAAATCGAATAACAAACGTAAACTGGGCGCGATGTTGGCTCTGTTCGAATGGCGCACGATTTTGGTCGCTCGTCGGAAGAAAAACACCGAACCGAAACGAATCGAACTAAGCTCGAGCTCGAGCTCCAGCGATGGACACAGCGTTCGCTTCGCCTGCACAAGCCGTGCAAAAGGAGACGCGCTGTTTATCTGTCGACAATGGATCACCACTTTGTCATCGTCTTGTGGCCGACTTGTTCCAGTTTGTGTTTCGTCGGCAGGAAGACAACAAGTTCGCTGCCACACTATGGTCAGGGATCCTGAGACCGAGCGTCCGTTTTAATGATCTTGTTTAGTTACACCTGAATTTATGCAGTAACTTGAAGGACATGTCTTACTCTGTTGGCAGTTGCAGTTGTAGTTGTGGCTGTGGTAGTGTTGTTGTAGTACTTAAGAGATTGACATCGGTGCTATTGGACTGGTTATCCTTGGTTGCTGGATTGAATAGAATGAGGAAATGGTTCTCTGCTATCCCCCTTCCCTGATCGCCTTGAGATGTATCAGTTAGAGCACCGTGTGTCCGAAACCGTTTTCCCAACGCCGTAAGATTTTATGAGCAGTCCGTTCATGCAACCGCTTACGCCTTGCTGAAATGTTTGCATAATTTCCAGAAGTATCTCGATCCTGATGTCCGAAATAAATTCAGTCCAAGGCCTCACAATGCAGCGATCTGAAAGAAAAATGAGAAGAAATCAAATCAATTGGGATATCGTACCAATGTCAAATAATAGACGAAGTGTCTTCATAACAGAAACTCGAATTTTATAACTAGCCGATGTAACTCTCCGGAATATCGATATTGGCATCTGTAACAGAGCTATCGTTCCGCAACAATAAAATTAGTCAAATTGTCAGTTATATCTCTCTCTATACCCTCGTTTTCCTCTTTCCCAAAAACCTCTCATTTCATTCCGGCATCCTTTGCGATTGTGAATAGGGACGTATTAAATTCTAAGTCCTTTGACTAGGAACGTCTAATCATCTTTTTTTAAAAAAAAATCAGATACATGGCACAAATTTGAAGCGCCTGTGTGCAGGTGACATTCAAAGATGAGATTTATTGGTCAACGATTTTACAAAGCACATATGTAACGCTACCGTCCAATTGTGGGCTTTTACTTGACGGGTGGTCGATGGAACCTTCTTACAAAAAAGTGTCAGTATAGGTCCACTCGTTCGTATATTCACCATATAATCTTACCGCCGTATTTTACGTTTTTATTTATATTTGTTTTAAAGGTATTTATTAAAATAACAAAATTATCGGCTAGATATTCCGCCTTTTGAAGGTCCAAACAACACTTCTCGAACAAAATTGCCTGAAATTTAACATTTGTCACTCTTACAGGGTATGTCAATATTCATATTTTGGAGCATTTTAATCGAATTTTATGGCCGCATTTTTTCAAGGTTTTTGGGCAGGAAACTTCTTCGCAAATATTTTTTGAAGTATGTGTCCACTTTAAATATAAAAATATAGAAAATTTCTTTAGAAATACGTCTTACAAACTCAACTCATACAATTGCTGTAATTTTATTTGAAGAAGATTTCGAAGACCTGAACTTGAGACTAAAGTCAAAAGCCAAGTTAAAATGCCAAAATGTGAACTGAAACTGAAATTGTTTTAAACAAAATGTATAGTTACAGTCAATTCTGTTGAAATGGTAAACAACACTATCAGAAAGTCAAGCTACTTGGGCCTAAACTAAATTGTGGACCCATTTGGAACCTTCTATGCTGAGGTTGATTGGCAAATACGTGTGAAATATTCAAATTATAGCCCATTGTGGCTGAATCATTCAAATATTCTCTATGGATCCATATATAACGATTTCCGTACCAAACATCCAGAAGTAATGCCAATCCATGTGCAAGGTTTCAAATTTCAATCCAAAATATTTGAAAATGTAACGTTAGTGTAATCAAATTTGCCCATCAATATTTGACAAAACTTGAAATGTAAGATTTACAAATGAAAATATTTATTTCGAGAGCAAGCGTCGAAAGAACCTTCAACTCCAACAAATTCACAGGGAAAATGGTTCACAACGGAAAGGCGTCAATGTTGCCCAGTGCTCTCTGCCGTGATTGGGACATGGCATAGCCATAAGACCTTTATATATATTTAATTCACAACGAAACTTAAATATATGTTTTTTAATGAGTGTTACTCTAGTAAAAAAGAAATTCGTCTGTATTTTAAATTCAAGCAACTTAATATTTTTAAAAGTTTTTGAACTTTTTACAGATTTGATTGGAGTTTCGGTACATGCGTATTTAGGTAATACTTGCTTACTACAAAATTAAAAAAAAGTATATGTCAAAGACCTATTTAATATGAAGGGTAAATCCATTTGCTTGTCGCATCGTGAGGTGTCCATGTACATTCAGGGTATTCTTTTACGCCACATTTACTTCTGCCATACGGCATGGGGTGCCATTTCTGTCATCCTGCCAGTCAGGCTATACGAGTCTATCTCACTGTGCAATCACATTCTGGCGAATGAATGTTTGTTTTGATTTTCGTTCGGGTTATTTGAACTATCCGAACTATTCGATAATGAGCTTTAATTAATTTTGCATTGTGAAAATGTCCCTATTTTCCTTGTCAATTTCGTCAATGGAATTTTTGGCAAATGCTCGCTTTGTTCTTTGCAATCGTCTATTCGCCCCGCTCGGCCGTCTGGTGTCGTGTTGCTCCGTGTTGACACTCGATTTTGAAATATTGCCAAAAACCCAGACTGACAATGTTGAATGTGACAAACAAATCGGCCATGCATGCATACGTACATGTTTGTACATGTGTATGCATTTGTACACATGGATATGCATTTCTAATAATCCGTCTAAACCGAACCGAAAGCATAGAAATGTTCGGTGGCCTCTTTAATCTGTGGCATTTTGCAAACTGGAAATTGTCTCCATGAACGTGTTTATCGGGAACTGGCTGTGGATATTTGTAATAAAAGAGCGGCCCTAAACGGTATTGGGAATGCATTCGGTTCTTTTTTACCATGCATACATACATGTGTATGTGTGTGTGTGTTTGTGTTTGTGCAATGTATTTGCCAAACACAATATTATCATGTCGTAGTCTATGTTGTATAAAATCGAATTCTTTTACGGATGCTGTAATGGTTTCAAATGACAAATGGAAAAATCGAAAAATAGGGTTTCCATTCGAATAGCGATCATAAAATATCACAGCCATGAGAAAAACGGATAATTTTTTTAGCAAAATTGGGCGAAACCAATGGTCTAAAGAGGCTATGTCCTCTGTAGACTGATGTATGTATGAGAACTGCTGGAACTTATCAGTCGAGGTATTCGATAGTTGTATCAATTTTTTTTTTTCAAATTTAGTATTGAGTGGGATTTGATATTTGTTGGATGGAGCCGACAATATAAAAAGCACGATGTGCGACAGGCCAAAGTCGTGGAGTGCTTCCACTTAATATGTGACTGGTGATTTTTAAGGTTTGGGAGCGTAAATTGATAGGCGGATGGTCTTTAGGATTATGACTTTTTACAACCTTTTTTGAAAATTCAAGATGTAGACATGGCATCGGCGAAAGGGGTACCATATTACTTCTGTAGCTATGAACTTTTGCTCAGGTGTTTATATTATCACTAGTATGTTTGTTTCAAAAAAAAAAAAAAAAAAAAAAAAAAAACATTTCGGTATGGCTCCCAAATATCGTTACTTCTTGATTTTTGGCATTTTGAATATTTTGAAGGTTTGGTCTACAATTTTGAGCTCAGAGCTGACAGAATCCCTCACTGAAAATTTTGTGCAAATAGGTACACTATTATGTATGGACCATATGTAAAGGCACTTACGAATTTTCGATATTTGGAAAATCTCTCCCTGCAAAATTGTCTGAAGATAAATCCACTTTTATATCTAGACCCTATATAACCGTACTTCGTAATAGGTAGGTATTTTCAGGGTTTTAAACAGAGTTTTTTTTACAAACTTATTACTTGGTATTTTGTTTCTCATTTGGTGCTGTTTGGTTTTCAGTGGATAAAAACTACAAAAATTGCCAATACAGAACCACCCTAGGTTCTCTGTAGAGCCCAATGGGGTTAGATCCCCAAAACAGAGATACATTCAAACAAAAGCATTTCGTTGCACCCATTCATTTGTTTTTTTTTTTTTTTTTTTTCATGTTCATATATTAATCAGGAGAAAAGAACAACATTTGAGTTATGCCATTCAACTGATGACAAAAATACTAAATATTTTTATGAGAGGGGAATAATAATAAAAAACTGATGAGGATTGGTGGCTCTTTCCGAAACCTAGGTATTCCCTGCCTTACCCTATGGTAAACATTACCATCGTTCTCCACTAATAAACAAATGTTATTTTATAAAAACAACAATAATGGGATTAAGCCTGACGATTTTTGCAACAAAAAAATACTACGGTATCCCAAACAAACATGCCAACACTGTTCTAATAAAAATTATATTTAAAACAATAGACCAAACCTTATCAATATATTAAAATAAGGTTATATAAATGAAGTTTAAAAAAATCATCATTATAGTGTTCCCTTAATTCTCTCGCAGCCCTTAAATCTCTCTCTCATTGTCTTAAATTGGATAATCAGTCAAAACTGATAGGCAAGTAACTGTTAGGCAAGTAACTTCAGCACTGATGCTTCAAGAGGCCCAATCATTTTTCATATTGTTAAGATTTCTGACTAACAATGGGATAAAAAAGCCATTGTACCTTATTTTAAAGGAACAACAGAAACAAACAAAGCAGAGAACTAGATTAATGAACATTCAACTCAAAACCTGTTGACTATCTTCAACATTTTTTTAAATAAAACAAAAACGACACGAGTTTTTGTGATAGATGATATTCCACACATAAATACAGGAACTTTTTTTGGGGCCTTCTCGAGATTACCTTTTAACTTCATATACTTTTCGGATATGGCAGAAATATGGACATAGTTTGATTTAGTTTTTAAAATACTTGTATGATTGTAACTTGTATTAGATGTTTCCTTTTTTTAAAACTATCACTTCTGATAAGAAAATAACTAAATTATTACCCTTCTAAAAACCAAAAACCAATAAATGAAACATTTCTCAACTTGAGCCCTTTAAAAGATTTATTCTAAAAGACGGATTTCATTTTTTTCAATTAATATCCGTTTTTGATGATTTCACCCTACTGTGTGCTAGTGTATGTTAGTGCCAGAACCTGTAATTTTCACAATCTTTTTAATTTAAGAGAAACGAAGTAAAAAAATTATTTAAGTTCCGATGGACCATCTGCCGTAAGCAAAATGTTTTTGAAAGTGACTATACCTCATACTCGGTATTCAAGTGATTTTCATTTAGAACAGCTAAGGTCAGTGAAACGTGGTAGAAAATATTTATTTAGCTCTGATATGCAAGCGCCATCATTATATGGGAGCTATAACGAAAAGTGGAACCATACTTACTGATTTTTTGCCTTTATACCCTTTGTTAAGACACTTTATATAACTTGCTGAATTTATACAAAAAATGCTGAATTACAAGCCTTTTAGCCGTAAAATGCGGCTCACGTAACCAAATGCCGTGCGAAGGGCTTTACAAATTAGTGGGCAAAGGGACGTTTGCCTTCAATATACCGAAATTGTCCAATTGCAGGGTATCAAAAATTGTGACGTATTGTAATGTGGGGGCTATGTCAAGACTTTTGAGCCATTGACAAAAGATACACATGTGTCAAACTTCAGATGTTTGTCTTGACTTGGTCGCACCTGCAACAAACAGCCAGTCGAACAGACACTTGGACATGGTTAAGTCCATGTCACAAGGAAGTGCAGGTAAAGGTACGGGTTTGAGAAATACAACTCTGTCCAACTCAATTTCAGGAACGTAAATGATGTCCGTCCGGCTGAGATTCTTAGCATACGGGCAAAAGGAAGTAACAGTTCTTTAAACGTGGCATTGAGTGCAAAAGTATTACCTAAACTTAAGTTAGAAGTTAATCTTTCACTAAAAATTACAGAATTTTATAAGGATGACGGTATTTTAATTCGATTCTTTCGGTATGTTCCATGCACAGACACAGTCCAACCTGCTAGGCAAGTTTTAGGTTGTGGGTATTGTCCAGCACAAGGACACTCGCATACTTCCCTAGTTTAGGGTTACAAGGGTAACAAAAACGACCATCTGCCCGGATAAGTATCCCTAGAATGCAACTGAATCTTATTTCGGCATAGTAAGCTACGGCCATAGGCTTCAAATTGTCATTGTGCCTTTCTAGACAATGGACAATGTTTGCCTCTGCATTATTACCCACACGCCACCACCACCATACCTAGGTGCATATATAATGTGGTACCAATGACTTAGGGCTGGCTGTTGGGTGCCGGGTTGCCTCAACTTATGACGGCCGCATTCACCATGCAAACATGTGCGTTGAGTTGGACTTCTGTACATAATATTTTAATACAATCACATGTGTACAGACGGGCTTTTCAGATCCCATTTGTATTTACAGACTGCAGACGCCATTATGCTGTGGCGTCGCCCCTTCTGCCTCACTCGCCTGTTGTTTGCACAATCAATGGCGGCAAAGCCAGTTCCCAACCCGGCCCAAGTCTGTCAGCCATTGATGCCTTGTAACTTGTACGACATGCAGCAGTGGCTGGCTGCCGCATGCAAAATGTCGACAATGTCCAAACAGAGAGGTTGACGTTGACAGTCAGCCTGCAAAGTTCGTTGGCAGTAGCCACAAGAGCGACCAACACACCGACCTATTCACTACTACACCATCTCATCAACAGCGTGCAGCCCGTCCATTTGTTTTGAAATCCCACAATTGGAAATGGAAATCATTTGGTGTCCAACAGCCACACTCACTCACACTCACCGAGTGGCATTCAGACGGAGGCAACTTGAAGATTTAAACTAGGATGATGGTCGTCTACACTACCTTGGCAATCAGAGCAGAGGAGGCATACCGCCTCCTTTTATCTTAGTTCGAAAACGGGGGGTTTACTTGAGCTTTCCAGATAAAATATGGAATGGGAAAAAATATTTGCCACATAAATACCGTTATTGCCAGCGCACGATATCCTGCCTTGCTTTTGTCTGGCACCGGCCAGCATTGTTGTAAAATGTTAAGAATGACGACTTTATGTCGCTTTTATTGGAGATTCAAGGATGTGACATGGAATTTCGTTGCAGTACGACCGGCCAGCATTTGGGCAAGGCGAAACGTGTCTCGTCGAAGTCGCCCATAAAAAATACAAAAACATAAAAAAATTGCGGTTAAAGTGCATAATGGGCGCTGTGATTTCTGTTACTCTATCCATCTGCCGCTGTCCGTTTTCGAGAATGGCAACAGAGGAAGATGCTAGAACGCTTTTTATGACTTTTCTGATTTTCGAAGGGGGCAGTATCAGTGGGAATAATCGTATGTTACGTTGGTGCATGGCATATATACCCGACTCACTTATGTAGTTTTCATAGTTCATCTAGTATCCTGTGTGTTTCAGGTAATCAGACAAATTAAGTTCGTATCGAGCTCGACAGAAGAATTGCATTGCACTTTAATGACATTTGGTTTAAGTTGAATACTATATGCATTGTTAAGGAATGCACTCGCCTTTGTTTGAGCCCTTCTCATGGTGAAAAATGACTCCAATGGATTGGAAAGGAAGCTCTCCGAAACAGATCCGGGAATTTATTGTATGCCAGTCAGCAGAAAAGGTACGAGGAACAGAAATTGGAAACACAATGGTCCATAAGCGAGAATAGAATGGCAAAAATGGGGACTTTTAGAGTGTTAGATTCGGCACAAACCCTATTCCAGAACGGCGAATGGACCAAAAACAACACAAACACAATATCCATTTGTTTCCGTGCCAGATAACTATTTGGAGACACACGGCTTTCCATGGAAAAATGACATTGTTTACAGCTATCAAGACCCAACGAACACTTGGCTTTGAAAGACCTAAACTGGCGAATGATTGCGATTTGAATTGATTGACGAGAGCGTTACGACTTTCCCAAGTGTTTTCGGCGTAAGCCCTTTTCACCGTTCACAAAGAATGGGTGTGTGAGTGTGGGTGTGTGTGTATGTGTTTCAGTCGAAAAGAGTTACACACACACACACACACACACACGCACACAGCAAGTGACACAATGGATAGTTGGATGTGAGAAAAGCATGTGACATTCGGAGCGATTGCCATCGTCGAACAAAAGCAAAGGGTCCATTTCAAGAGCTCCTTTTTGTGAGTTTCAACAGCCGAATGGATTCTCGAAAAAGAAGAGAAGAACTGTAAACAATCAAGACAAAGTGCAAACCGAACGAAGAACGACAGAACTACACAACAGACATCGGTGTGGCACGAGCAAACACACGCAGACACGCACACCAACATTCCGATATGGACATGATGGCCAAAACAAAGGCAGGCACACTCTTTATGATGTTGTGGCTCGTTGTCGTCGTTGCCGCCGTCGTCGTAGTCGCCGTCGATGTAAGGATAAGTGAACACATACACATTGCCGTGTACACACACGCAGATACACACACACACAAACAACCAGCCACATTTACACTCACAAACAACAATCGATACATCACGAATAGGTGGGGTGGGGTGTAGTGAGGTGTGGTGTGGTGTGGTGCGGGCTGGGGTGGGTTTTCTTTTTGTGATGTGAAAGGATGCTTACAATTGTTTTGGGATGTTGTGCGAATACCTTTGGCCATGCGAATAGCTAACAATGAAGAACGACACTGTTATTAGCCACCAAGTGCGGACTGGCTGCCTGACTGTCTGACAACTGGAGTGGACAGCATAAAAACAAAACAAACGATAAACGAGCTGCGAACAGAGGAACAAAACGAAGAATAGACATCCGAACTAAAGAAAGAGGAAAAAGGGAATCACGATGTCGGGAACTGGAAATGATGGGGGTCATCGCAACTGGTTAAAGTGCGTATCGCCAAAACTCCAGACGCCAGTATGAAATCCTCTTTTCCCATTTACCTTTTGTTTCAAATGGGACTGTTATTGTATCGGAATTCCTGAAATAACTCAAAGTGGTACGGTGCTGCTTTGCGCTGCCCTGTTCTGCGCTCTGTCGTGTCGTCGTGGACGACGAAAAAGCAACAATTCTCCAAAGACTATGGCAAACGTGCGTCATATTACCCAACCCATTACAATTGCTATTCTTTTTCTTCCACATCCATCCTTTACAGTTTATGTTGCTGGAATTCTTTTCAAAAAAAAAAACCCAAAAAAAAAAACAAAAAACAAAAGAAAAGAAAAGAAAATCCGAAACACAAAAGGGAAACCTAATGGAAAAATTACAAGAATCACTGGGGGTATCGTGTGTACATACATTGGTTCGGCGAGTGGTGGTATTTGATTTTTCTGTTGCTATTTATTTATTATTTTTTTTATTGTTGTTGCTTTTGCTGCTGTTGTTGTTCTTGTTGTTGTTATTGGTTGATTGGATTTTATAGTGTATTTTCTTTTGTTTAGATTTTCAGTAATCCAACGGCAGTAATTGTTAAAATCTCTGTGTTGTTGTTGTTGCTGGTGATGCTGAGTCTGAGTCTGCTTCGCTGCTGCTGTTGTTGTTGTTGTTGAGGTTCGTTTCAGTTAATGCTGAATGTTTCACACCCCAAAAACGAGGGCTTCCATATAATCGTCGTATGTATATTTTTTTCCGTTTTCCACTTATTCAACTTGGACTCCACACATATTCGACACACTGCCTGACTGACTGACGGATTGAGGTCTGTCTGACGAACTGACAACTGTGGTTGTACACTTAATTCTTGCACAGGATTTCGAATCGATTCACTAGACAAGGATTCCGATTTGCACGTAATTTTTCTACTTTAATGCCTTCATTTATTTTTTCATTTCATTTCATTGCGTTTCGCTTCGTTTCTTTTGCTTCTTTTTATTTTTTTAATTTTATTTATTTTTTTTAATTGGATTTTTGTTCAAGTCGCGATTATTATTTTTGTTTTGTGGTAGAAAAAAGCTTGTTGTTGTTGTTGTTGTTAGACGACTTGAGATTCTTTTCCTATATGTAGATTATTATTTTTTTGCTTGTGTAGTAGATATATATGTGTATTTACTTTTTCTTCTTCATCAATTTCAATTATAAAAATCTTCTTGAACGACACACTTGGTACACGCAAAGTTTAACCAAAACGATTTCTTCAACCCGCGGGCTCTGAGGCAACTACTGCCAGCTTGCGTATGGAGCACAGACGATTTCACGACGAGCCACTTCAGCGAAAATCAATCGACTACAAGCGACACTCTACACCAGCTACAAATGAGCGTAACAGCATCACTCCCAATACGCTGCTCTCGGGCACTGCTCTCCGAGGCAATGGAAACGCGCCCAAATGGATGCTGGGCGCACACATCTACAACGGGGCTTGGATGCGCTGGCTCTTTGACTGTGGCACTGCTGCTCGATGGGTTCTCTGTTTGTTTACGGTATCTTAGATGCTGCGACCAAATAGACTGACCACTCTTTGAAAATATCCTTTCGACATTTTATAAAGGCTGTGGCTTTAGGCTTAGGCTTGAATGAGTTGTAACTCTGGATGGTTTTTCAAATAAGTCGGCCTGTATTCTGTACGGATGCTGACACAGCGATGCCTATCCAGTCCTATCTTCGTCCACTCGAACTACGAAGAGAATGCTTCTTTCAAACCTCGAAGACAGTTAGCGAATTAGGGCGTTTTTCCCCATATATACAAATGTCGAATATCCTTTTGTTTTGCTGGAATTCCACGAGACGTTTTCTGGCCAACGCTTGGAGACTTTACTCACTGAGATGCGGCGCTCTTCGTTGTACTCTCTGTGTTCTCTTGATGCCATAGTTGCCTGTGGTCCGGAGCAGTAGTACACACATCGCTTTTACTTTATCTACTCCACTTTTTGATGGTCTGCGTTACTCCGAGACGACAACATTGCCAACAGAACCAGAAACACGCACACACACACACACAATCACACGCCGTTGTCGGCGCTTTCATTAAGCCAGCTAATAATTTACATACTGGGCGTGGATGCTGTACGTGTGAGTTAGAGCTCATTCGCTCACTCGACGAGCAGTAAGGCACACGAAGTCTTCGAATAAAGTTTCGAATTTCTCAGCCAGCATGAATGTCAAATGTATGGGACAGTCACCCCCGCTTCGCTGTCCTGTCTGTTTGTCTTTCCGCTCGCCATAGTCGATTTTCAGCCTGTGTACGTCATTTGACGTGTCTTATGTTCTTCGCTTAGGGTACGCACCGAGATACCACCGTCATGTCCTTGTGCTTTTACTGGTGCTGGCGCTGGCGTACGCGACAATGGAGGCACATATCTAAACAACATATCTGTACAGCAGATAATTACGGCTTTTGGCAAAGTTTTGAGTGGTACAAAGACCAGAGACCGCTGACTTTTTCGACTTGGTTCGTTATGGCATGCTTTTGTTTGTTCGTTTGTTTGTTTTCTGCTTTCATTTCCATGTCATGTTTGTCTGTCCGTTCATTTACTGGCTTTGTGAATGAACGAATGAATGAATATATCTCTCGAAATGAATGTACATGCGTGTGTGTGTGTGTGTGTATTTTATGTACAAATGTATCTATGTTACTTGAACATCAGCACATCAACGCACACATACACATACACATAAGTTGGTATGTTGCATGCGTTATTAATAAACACAACGACCAACGACGACAATACGCACAGACACAACATTTGAATGTCTGATAGGACAACCACAATTCCATGTTGGGAACAAACACACACACACACATATATATATATATATATACATATGGAAATAACTGCCTATACACAGACCACAGCTCGAAATTGCATTTTCATCGTCAGCAGTGGCCAGTTCGTTTACCCACCTTTGACGTTATTGACATGTCATTCTTGTCAGCTTAACAAATGTCAGAAGCAATCAATAATTCTTGAAAAATTTCAACATTTGTTTTTGATCAAAAATCATGTCGGATAGGTTAAACAAAGCAACGGAAGAAAATAATGGAGAAAAAATGCGACAAAAAAACCAAAAATTAAGTCGGACAAAGGCGGCCACAACATCTGGGCATGAAAACTTCCATCTGGGACGAGAGACGACCTAAAAGCTTAAAGATCAGTTACTGGAAACAATGGAAGTAATAGCCTGGCAGCAAGTGCTCCTAACTTCGTGGCAAATGTTCGGAAAGGTCAATTGGAAAGTATTTGTTTGTTTTTGGCACCGTCAATACCTTTCTCAGTACGTCAATGGTATGTGTGCGGTTTTCTATAAAACGGCAACGTCTTCGAAGATCTTTTTGTCGTAAGAGACAAAACCAGGAGGCATGTTGTAATGTTTTGGCTTATACTTATAGCAAGTGGGTTAAATGCGTTTTTGGGAATCAAAATAATCAATCCATCAATCAATATGTGTTTGAATAACCGGGAAAACAATTTGAAATTATTTTAATTTCGAGTGTAACAAAACTATTTATCTTGCAATTGCTTCACATTCCTATCCTAAATTCACTTTTGAATCATTTTCAATTATATAAAATATGGTGGCAATGCCAAAACGGGAACCTATATAGACAATTCTCTACTCCGAGGATTGTTATATATTGCAAGTCTCAAATGCCAAATTTGTGTAAAAATGTGTTTAGAATCATCCAAATACCGAATATTGAGCGATACCGTTATGTGGAAACCATATTGGCCCACGTATGGACAATATTATGTGGCCTAATCGTCGCAATACCGAACTTCTAGAGGTACCGTTATATGGAGGCTATAGAGAACTGTGAAACTATATAGACAATTCTATGCCATAGGAACTAAAAAAATGACTGAATGATCAGAATACCGAATATTGGGAGCTATATGGCTGCTGTAACAATTTTAGACATAATACGAACTATTGTGAAAAATTTTGAAATATCTTGCACAAATTAAAATCTGGACCAGTATTTTTTGGTAGGCAGCATTCTTCTGACAACCAGCTTTCAAGACCCTATAACTTTTCGTATGCCGTTAACTATTCAAATGACAATTTTCAAAATGTGTATGTGTGTGAGTGTGTTTTGGGTTCTGTGGGAGCCCAAAACTGCGAACAGAAACAAGCTGTGTGTTTAGCCACCACCTCCCATTTGAACCCTGGCTGCGCTCGATGTTTCCATCAAATTTAACAATGCCAATGAAATGCCCAACAAAGCGCCTGCAGATTCCACCAGAAAGGATGTGGGTTCCAAAGTGTTTGTTGTTGGTGGGTTCACTTCATAAATTTGAATGTGGTCACATTATTTGAATGGAGCGCGCTTATAATTGCAGACGAAATGGCCATTTCGGATGTAATGGCGTAAATGGCTGTCGTTCGTTGACTGACGAAATGCACAATGACCCACATATGACTGACTGGCTGAACACCAATACGCGGGCCTGTCGAGCATTATTTGGGCTTTGGGGCCAAATGAAAAGTAATACCCTTTCGTGCTGGAACAAAACAAATCGAGTGACGATGTTGACGATAATGGAGAATGTTTTTTGTTTGTCTTAGCCATGCATTTGTATTCATACATGTGCGCCCGCACTTTAGGTGCAACTTCTGGTGCCGAGGGGTAGAGCAGACGGGGAGCTGTTCCACAAAGTATGAGAATGCAATGAATTCGGTTGCTTTTGAATGTGTTTTGCATTGCCCGCAGCGCCACTTAACATTATTTTAATTGTATGCATGTATATGTGTGGGTGTGTGTGTGCGTGTGTGTGTGTGTTTGTGTACATGTAAGGCATGCTTGCATATGGACGAGTGTATGTCTGTATGTATGTATGTATGTCGGTTGGTGCTAGCTACAAACAAAGGCAAACGTGTTCTTTTCACAACTAATATTTTTATATGTTAAGGCCAGTCGAAAAAAGGTAAAGCAACGTGAAACCATTCGTCCGTCTCCCCGCTTTATCATTTACAACCCCTCGCACTCTAATTTAACACATACTCACCTCAACCCCCTGCTTCGCTCTATGTCTCCCTTCTGCATCGTGCTCAACAAAATATTCAGCTTGTGCATAAATATTCACTGCACTTACGAGAGTGCACAGCTTACATTTGACAACAAAAAACAACAGCAACAACAACAACAGCAGCAGCTGCTGGCGTAGTCACACAACAATATCAGCATCATTTGCTGCAGCCACAACTGCACAAGCACGGCATCATACCGAACAAGTGTGCTCTGATGTTGGCTTAACGTGTCAATTGTTAAATAGGTAATAAAACATTAAGCATAAATAATAACAAGTGACTGCAAACACACGCACACATACAAACACACCCACGTAATTATGTTCTGTATTTACTCTTGGAGTGCAACACTGTGTGTAGGTATGTATGTTTATATGGCATAGAAAAGCGCTATGAAGAATTTTCCTGCTGATGATTTTCCGACCAGAATATTCAACTGTTAACAAGGCATTATTCGTACCGGTGGCCGCTTCGTATTTTGTCCACTATGGAGGGAATTAGTAGTCGTATTTTGGCTTAAAACCTAGCCCTATGAAGCAATTCCAAATCTGTTTAGACATTTCGAGCTGTTGTAATCACCATAGCTTAAACAAGTGTGTCTCTTGTTCGACAGAAAGTCAAGTTCCAAAATGCACTCTCATCACGTGTAAGGTAGTTTGGAGCTTTTTAGCATTTCGGAATCGGATTTCTTTTTAAAATGTCTCTACTTTAGGCTGACATATCCCGTGATGAATAGTGTACACCCATATGGCTAGAGAGGGTATATATAATTTGATACGGCCAAAACGTGTCTCGTCGCATTACGGTTTTAGGCCTCTTTAGACCAAATCCGTTTCAGGACATTTGGAGTAGATCGATAACTCTCAAAGGGAGTATCCGATTTGACCAAAGTATCCAATGTTAAGCAAACTTTGCAAATCCCAATATTTCTATCAGTTCTAGGTCAGGTGCGAAAGCGGACAATATTAGTCCACTCCAACAAGTACTTTCCCGCAAAGGGTGAAAATTTGGAATTATTAAAAGTCTCATAAAATACGAAATAAGCATCCGATTCTCTTCAAATTTCACACATCACAATATTTCTATCAACACATAATCTGGTGATAGATAACATGATAGAAATCGGAACAACCCTTCTGGTATTCCCCCCCACAAAGAATCACAATTCCAATATTTATATCTCTTATAATTTGCTGAAAAAGTCAGCGATTCTTCTAAAACTTGGTAACCCGAGATCTGATGAGAATATAGAATTCATCGGCTGACTCCTTTTGGCATCTCCTCGCAAAATGTTTAAATTTAGAAAAAAAAAACATCAGACGCTCATTCCAACATTTGTCTTCAGTATAAGATGAAGTGAAATAATTCGCTCTATCTGATACCTCACGCACATTTCTTAATTTTCAAAAATTATTACATATTACAAAGTTGAACGAAGAAGTAGATATAGCCCATATCTGGTATATTTACATCAGACTTTGGCCAGGTACGAAATGAACACTGGCCGAGGGTATACATCTGCCGGTAAAACAGATACTTTTTTACTTGTTTAGGTGTTTTTATCACGTCGTGGCCGCCAAGACCATACCCAAAGCA